CCAGGTGAAAGGTACTGAAGAAAAAATGTAGCAATATTTGCTACAAGAGAGAAGAGACACGGTATAGTAGACAGAGGAGGATATTTTTAAAATTGGAGAATAATATTTTTTTTATCTTGGTAGAAATCGTCCAATAGAGGAGATATTGATAATATAAAATGTAAGAGAAATAAGGGATAATAATAGAAGCAAAATCCCTGAAGTTGAGGATAGATTAGAATAATAATCAGAGGACCAGCAGAGCGTAAATCTAAGGCAAGAAGGTAAACAGGAGGCAGAATGTTAGTGGATTCCTGTCCGAATCCTCACATTTCTCAGCGAAGTATGAATCGAGATCATTGGCTGAGTTGGTTGGTGGAGGAGAGAAAGGAGATGTGTAAGAGATTCGAGAAGAGATGAGAAAGTATGAGATATTGGTTTTTGAATGGGTGGGGAGCAAAACTAGTGAATTTGAATAGAGTGTCCCTTTTAGATTTGGGGCAAAAACTAACTGCAGAACCAATCAGCAGGATTCGGTTGTTGGTTACATGCACAGAACAGTCAGGTTTTCCCAGGGTTAGAGACCTGCCAGAATGGTATGATGAAGGCATAGAGTAGGGAAGGAACTGATGGCATTTATGAGGAGTGATTACAAACAGGCTATGGAACACAGATTGGGGGAAGTAAGGGAGATGAGGAAGTGAGGGCCATAAGGCTCTCCCTCCTTCTAAATTTACACATGCTGATTCCTCTCCTTAGGCTCATATTTGCTTGTTCATTCTACAAATTTCATCTCAAAGGTCACTGACTAAGAGCCATTCTGGATATCCCAACACCATTTCCGTCCACCACACACACACACGCACGTACACATGCCAACATACAAACACATACCAACCTGCAATCTCAGGCCTCCGTGAAGTCACCTTGTTCTGTTATGTACTTGTAGTTCATAACATTTAGCCCAATTTGTAATTATATATTTCTGTGATTATTTAATCCCTCCCCTCCCCAATAAACTATGAGTTTCATGGGGGCAGAACAGTGTTGATTTTACTCTTTGTAATATCTCTTGTATCTTATACCATGATTGGCACATAGGAGTTCAAATACATAGGTTCAATAGTTAATTTATGTACATTGGCATCATAGGGCAGTGGGTTTGGGAACGATTTGAGAGAGAATTTGACGCATAAGGCAAACTACCTTCTTGGCACGTGCTGATAGGTAGAAGTCTTGGATCTAAATAAAATATAAGAAAATAGTTTCAGTGGATTTACTTGAGTAAGACAGGCTGAAAAATCTGAAATGACTAGGGTGGTCTTGGGATGTCTTGGTGGGTATTCAGTCTTAGACAACAATTTAGTTTTAGTGTTGTAGTGAGATGTAGAAAAATCACTGGATTCATAGGTGGGTCATTATAAGGGAAGTCCAATCCTGGCTTTCAAAAGAAGTTTAATAATATTGCAAATAGGAACGACAGGATTGATTTTTTTTTTTTTAGATGCAGAAGTAGGTGTTGCAAGAGATCCTTCTAGGATATTTCATTAAAACAGTAAGAAATAGGAAATGTGATTTTCAAAGTTCTCTGCAGGAAATATAGTATATCCAAAGGCTTTAATAAGCTGGGTGGTAGAAGTGGTGGGCGAGGCCTAAAATGATGCCAAGATTCTATACCCACCTTAAGGAGAACAGGGGATGTGGGGTGAATACCAACTGCCTTCCAAATAACTACAGGCCACTGCAAGGAAAGAAAATATATAATCTACAACATTAGCATGAGAATTGAAAGTGGTAACCCAATTCAAGAAGGAAAGAGCCATGAGCACTGGATTCGAATTTTTCTCATCTAAGGTGGGAACTCCTTTTGAAGTTCCCAGATGCTTAAAAGACATGATACCAACATGCACATGGCTAAATTGGTATTGATGAGGACCTTGCTAATGATCGGCATAGGAGGGTCTGTGAAGAATTGCCACTTTGTGTTGGAGAGTAAAGGCACTTTGTTGTACAAGATTTATAGCACAGGGGGAGGAACTTCTGTGGGTGACGTCTTTGAAAATGCCTTTTTCTACCAGAAGCAGGGATTAAGCATTTAGGGAAAATAAAGCAGGAAGGCTGTTTAGAATAGATCGGGAATTGCAACTCTCAAAAGTTGGCCAGGTTTTGTTGTCCCCCACTGGTATGGAATCCTCTTGAAAGTTCTCAATGTTTTAGAAATTTTTAATAGCAGTACTGTGGTGAGAAATATACTCTAAGTATCTCTCACCATTCTACATTTATAAAGTTAGGACAATGACTCCAAGGTGATGTTTGTGGGAGTCCCACTCTCCTCGGCCTTGTATCTTTGTAAGGAAAAAAGGTGTGATCCCTGAGACATCTAAATTAAGAGGCCATTAAAAGTATTTTTTAATGCATCCTTAAACCTGGGGAAACAATATCACCAGCATACCTCTGGACCGCCATTTTTGATCCAAAAATGTACTTTTGTACCAATTTATGTGATGTTACTAAGGTTTTCCTGATAGTTATACCAGTGTTATTTCTTGCTTCTGTTGAGCAGTATAATGTCCTGGTCACGGACTTAAATCAGCCACTTTTGATCAGCAAGGGCAAATGGAAAAAGAGCCAACAGGACACACAACACGAACCAATAATGCTGGTTCCTGAGCTCTGCCACCTGACAGGTACTGCGATTTATCCTGTCTCCACAGAAGAAAACCCCGCTTTAAAGTCACAGATATTATGATGTAGGAGTGTGGGCATTTCACAATACTCTCTGTGACCCAGAGCTCTGTTCTCCGTTGGTTCTTGCTCTTCCGGATACAACAGTTAAGTCTTCTCTAAGAATTCTTGCTTGTTCAGCTATATCTTTTGGATTTTTTTAAAAGGTCTAACAAATACAATGCGTAAAGACTATGGGGTGATGAGAGACTTGGCTGCTAGTACAAGGTTGAATCCAGAAGTAAGGCAGCAGAAATTGCAAAATTTCATGAATGCTATGCAAACGTAAGTGCTACTTTTTTGGCTCTCTGACTGTCTGTCTGTCTGTCTCTGTCTCTCTGTCTGTCCCTCTGTGTGTGTGTGTATGTACATGCACTGAAATTGAGATCTTTGCAGGTCCCTTGACATCTATCCCAGATTCTTCAATTGAAAAATGAGTTGGAAAGAAAGTGGTTTTTGTCATTGCAATGTTAGAGGAGACCTAGAGAGGGTAGAGTGAACCAGAGTACTCTAAGTGCCGACACAAATGTGAGAGCAAAACCAAGACTATTTCAGAACTTTAGGGAGTTTATCTGCAGCATCTCAACATGAAGGATGAGCAATAAGGAAAATTGCCCTGTGTTTTGCGAATGGTTAATTGCTTTTGATTATTTTCTTTGGTTGGATCATGTGGAACTATTTTAACTTTCAGAGATGAGAATGTGAAAAAGGAGCTTCAACTCTGGGATTTCAAGTTTGATGCCAAATTTTTGTCCTTCACAGGAAGAATTTTGAAAGAAGTGAGAATTTTCCAGGGGAAAAGAATGGTAAGACAGTTTCAAAATTTTCATGTCACAGTTGGGTCAAATGAATAGTAACGCAAAGAGAAACTAACACAGCCATGTCAGTAACTACGACTGCTCTCTCTCCTTAGGCTGCCTGTTCTTTCTATATGAGAGAATGACAGTCCAAGAAGAATGCATGTAAAACACTTGGCATATCGTAAACTTAGCATTACATCTTTATTAGTATCGTGGACAAATGAACTACCAAATGTATCCTTAAGAGTCAGATACCTAAAATCAAAGTAATCCAGAGTAACCTATGATAGAATTCTAGTGTTTTAACCTATATCTTAAGGAAAATAGCTGATACAGTCATGACTGAAGTTTAAAATTGTAGTATTTCAGTAGGAAAGAGCACAGACTTACAGTGGAAAGGATCTTGAATGATTTTTTTTAAATGAAGTTTTATAGCATGTCTCGGAATTGTTTTTTCAGTTTGACTCCCATCCACAATCTGCCGAATGGGCAAGAGAAACAAGAAGTGGACCCTTACTCAGTGTGAAGTCACTAGATAATTGGCTGATCCTCTATACAAAGAAAAACTATGGGGCAGCCTGCTCCTTAATGCAGAGTCTACGGAGAGTCACACCCACCATGGGCATAGCTATAAGAGATGCAAAAATGTAAGTCGATCAGAAATAACTTCCAATTTAAAAGTTAGTTGTCAGCAATCGGAAGGTAGAGTAACTGAAAATATTAAATTGTAGGAATCTGTTGCTTTATCAAAACTCTGAAAGTCTGTAAATAGTCCAATCTACTCCAGTCAACAAGTATTAAAATAGGTTTTTGTGCTATATGATTTGTGGCTCTTGGCATACAAGTTGAGGAAGATATGACAATTAGCAACTTGATGTGAATGGATGGGGTGATATTAAGAACTAGTTCCCAAATATGTTTCCAAATATTGAATTTATTTTAAAAACAAATTTTAAACTGAAATGCCCATTTTGGCATTTTTTAATCTTGTCTTTATATCATGTTTCATTGGCTGTTTAAAATGTTTCTTATATGTTTCACAGTTCATTACCTTTCGAATATAGATGATATACTTATTTTCTAGGCTTGAAGTAAGTGATACAGTCAACTCCTATGTAACTGTCTTAAAAAAACATGATTCATCAAATACACAGATGGTAAGTGTCTATTTGCTATGTGCACAGTCTTTCGCGATTGTTCTAACACTGTATTTGCATGCATTTTAGAACATGGAATGTTGCCATCAGTTTCCTAAACTATTAAATGAATACAAATCTACCTCTCTACTGTAGTACAATATACACCGGGTTTTAGCTGTTACTTAATACTGCCATATTATACTAATTCTTTCAGGCTCAAGGACTTGGCATTATCTTGTCTCAAACTGAAAAACACCATACAAATATAAAGTGATATGGATTTCTGGTAATCGCCACATTCATCATTTCTCTCTCCAGTTGTAACCTGCAAAGCCTATGATCTGTCTCTTCCAGCATATGCTCTGCCCTTTGCTCAGTACTTTTCGGGGGAATTTTTTCCCTTTCTTTTCTCCCATCCAATGTTTTTGACCAAGTTGTCATAACGTTGTGTCTGAATTACTAAAGTAACATCTTTTTTCTTCTTCCTTTGGGCTCTTTCTTCTAATCCATCTCACATTCTTCCTTCTTCCTCCAGGATGATCTTTAAGAGGATCTTTGTTTCTTGAGCATAAAACCAGGGTCTTTCTCCTATTGTCTTATTTATGAAGCCTAGACTTTTCTCTCCTTTTTGTTTCCACTAAGGAACCTTTGAGGCTGCTCTGAAGGGTACCTTCTCTGAACCATACTCATTCTCAAATGAAATGTCTTATGTTCAAAATCCTGTTGTACTTACATTTTTTGCCTTGCTTCCTGTTGCTTGCTTGTCTATTATATCTCTTTCTTCTCTGGTGGTCAGTGTAGCCTTAAATGCTCAGCTGGATCAGGAAAGCATCCACTGGGAATGAGCGAAGGCTTACATTTAGTACATGAGGATCAGAGTTGAAGGGGCCTTAGTAGTTGTTTGAATCCCAACCCATTCTCATACCAGGAATTTCCTTTGCTCATTTAACATTTTTAATCATGGGGATTTCTTTTAAAAAGAAGTCCTTTATCTCTTGAATGGGAACTTATACCACTTTTACTGATTTATCCTCTTTTACTCAAAGCAGCCCCTTAAAAATTTTAAGGTATGTCAGATGTTAAGGGGAGCATGACTACAATCTTTTTTCTTGTGCACTTAGAATGATCAATAATATAGAGACCGGAAATTATATGCAAAATTGTCTCACAAGTACAAATGAAAATCTTTATAGACCTGGACTAGAGGGGAATTCATGCACGTAAGCAGGGGTGAAGCCAGGTGGCTCACAAAGTTCAAAAGTTGTGTGGCATTAAGCAGAAGGCCAGAATAGGGCTCTGTGAGATAATCCATTGACTGCGATAAGACATCAAGCCACCTATTTATGTTAAGTCTAAAATAAAAGTTACAATAAAGATTGGTGGTAACAATACCAATAATGCATAAGCACTCATGTGGTTTGGCAGTATATTTTCTTTATACTGTATGCAGACAACAGCTTACAGATCATGATTTTAAACAAGTTGTGATGAGGAGGCACACGTGTTTGAATAATAAAAATTAATTCCTATAAATGTGTAAGTTGGAGGAGCAAAGCAGAAGTAGAATAAATGTATACTCAAACTATAGGATATGGTTTTTTTTTTTTTTTTTACAGGAAGGAAAGCCAATCTAGTATTGTGTTAATGATTTAAAGCTAAAGAATAAAAATGAAATAGTGATCTCACACATAATATTAAAACTGGTTCCTGAAAATCAGATATTTGCAGTAAAAATGCCAACTGGGAATACAGTCCCCTATTTTAAATAGCGAATCTTACAGTTTTTCTCTTTAAAATCATGATTACACATTAATCCAATCTAAAGCCTCGGGTTTGTTTTCTTGAATGTTTAAAAACTTTTAAATTTATATTTTACTGTAATTTCAGACTCATGGGAAGAGTTGCAAAGATAGCACAAATCTTTCTATAACCGTTATCCAGATTTCCTAAATATTAAATTTTACCACAGTCATATAATCATTCTCTCTTATGTCTCTGTGTATAATCATTTTTTCTCTCATATATGTAACATATATGTACCCACATACCCATGTTTATGTGTCATTCACAGTAGTTATAGTCTATGTATTCCTGAGCCATTTGTCTCATCTAGACCCTATCTGAAATTCTACTAATCCTCTCCTTTATAGCAAAATAAATTGTTTGTCCGGTCCATATGGGGTCGCTTGAAGCATCTGATCAACATGTTAATCTCCATTCAATCTCTGGAAAATTTCTTCAGTCTTTATTTGGGTTTTATAGCCTCAACATTTTGGAAGTGCGCTGACCATGTAGTTTACAGAACAATCCTCAATATGGGTTTGCCCATTTCCTCCTCGTTCAATTCAGGTCATGCATTCTTGCAGAATACTGAAGAAGTCAGGCTGTGTTGTTCTCAAGTCATGTTATCAGGAAGCAGGTGATGTTGATTTGACTGGTAATTTTAATTTTGATGATTTAATTAAGGCGAGGTCTAGCAGAGTTCACCATTTCAAAATTATTGTTTCTTCTGTTTGTGATTGATAACTTTATTGTGGGGTGACACTTGGAGATTCTGCAAATTTCTGGGTTCGCATTGAAATTTCACTCGCTAATTTTAGCATCTATTGATGATTCTTGTCTGAAACACTTATTATGGTGCTCACCAAAATGGGGATTTTTGTTTTCAATATTCCTTCCATATTTATCAGTTGGTATTCTTGTGTAAGGAAGACCTTTTCATTCTTCTCTATTTACTTATTTACTTATGTAAACATGGATTTATGTAATGGATTGTAATTTACTCTTATTTGTTGCTCACCTTTTCCCTTTCACAAGTCACTGTCCTGCAAATGCAACTTCTACCCCGTGTTCTATCACCATAGCTTGGTGTTGCCTGTTTTAAAACTTTACCTGAAAAGAATTATACGTTTACAGGGTCTTTTTTTTAATCTTCTGCTGAACTTTGAGATTCCTCTTTGGTGGGTGTAGCTGTAGTGTATTTGTTCTCTCGCTCTGCATAGTATCCCATTGTTTTCAACTTAATCTGTTCTATTGTTGATGAACCTTTGAGATGTTTTAGTTTTGCTATGACTTATAGTACCATTATGATTACTCTAGACCTGTCTTTTGTTCACATAGGTGTGTATTTCTGTTGGGGATTTACCCAGGAGTGGAATGTTCCATGTCATTAGATGCTACTAATCGGTTTTCCAAAATGTACACACCCACCATCAGCTTGAGCATTCTTGTAGCTTTATGTCTTCTTTAACACTTAGCATTATCCATCTAATCAGTTTGTTTTTGAATGGCAGACACTCAGATTTTAAGCCAAGTACGTACTCTTTCCTTGGCAGGACCTGGTTTCAGTTTCTATCCTTCTCCATCTATGAGTTTGTCAGTCTTTTCATAGCCTTCCAACCTCCCATCCATATTTATTGGGACAGGCAGATACCATAAGGTAATGCAGCCTCAGCTGCTGAGATCATCTCTCTGGGTCCCTATTTCTCTTCTTAACCTTATAATTTTTTATTGCCTCATCAAACTGGCTAAGCTTTGAACAGGCATACTCCTATATTTTTATCAACTTGAGTAGCTCTTCTTAGGAAAAGACAGATCCATTCTATTCCAGAAGCTGAAATTTTAGGAGACAACATTAGCTGACCACTCTTAGGAAACTCAGATAGTCAAATAAAATAATTAGAATCTAGATGATTTTAAACTCATATTTAAAAACCTGACCTACTAACCTACTAATACATGTATATATCTATATCTATGTAGAGATACACGTGTGTGTGCATGTGTGTGTGCGCACATGTGTAAGTGTAATCTGTACCCAAAAGATCAGGTGATTTTTAAAAGTGTATCTGTAAGTTCATTTTGTCTTTGTCTTTCATTGGTCACAATGGACTTAGAGAAATCCTATGCAAGTAATGAAGGACCAGTGTCCTATTGACCACACGTGTTGACCACAGTACATTTCAATTAGGAATTGTTAAACCACATACACTCAAGAACCAAATAATTATTTTTTGAGTAACAGCTCTGTTAGAGGATAACCTCAATGGAAATTTTAAAAAAAGAACTTTTATAACTGAGGTACCATGTAAGTACTATGTATCAAAACCGTGCGAAACAGAAGACTGGAAATGAGATGGGACCTGTAGCCCTTCAGGGATGCACTGGGAATGAAATATGAATTTTAATGCACTAAGAATAGAGTAAAGCAAAATAAAGAAGAATGAAACAAGAAAATGAAAACAGACTAAATAGAGAACTACTAATAAATCTAAAGCTGAAAAAATTTTAAATTTGATATTGTCAAGACTGAAGAAAAGACAGAGGAAGGCTTCATGAGATCAGTAACAAGTGGAGTTCATTATTACAGATTCACTGGAGGACCACGAGCTAGAGAGTGCCAGTTAATTTGAAAGTTTGAAATAGTTTTTAGAAAAAGTATAAACAATTAGCTGGTTAGTGCGATGAATTATTGGGAAAAATGTTTCTCTTAATCAAAGCAGTAATGCATTTGATAAAATTCCACATCTGTTCATATAAAAAGAAAAAGTCCAGAGTGAGAAAATTATTTACCCTCATCTGATAAAGGTGTCTGCCAAAAACTTCCTACAAGCATCATCATGTTAAAAATAACATATGGATGATTTTCACATTACAGTTAGAAACAAGGCAAGCGGTAACCACTCTTCCTGACCACTCAGTGTCCTACTGGAGGTCTTTGTGAATATTTGGAACCTTAATCTGCTACTTGTACATCAGGCAGTGTCCATAACTCCCAAGCTTGTATACTCGGGCAAATAGGGATCATAGTATTGATCTCAGCAGGTTGTCGAATTAACTGAGTCAACTAAAATGCTTGGCAAGTGCCCCCATACATAGTGATCATCCCATAAATGGTGACTATCCTGATTATGACCTATTTTGATCTACATTTTTAACCCAATCTTGTCAACTTTATAATAAACTACTGGGAATTAAATAACTAGGACAAAGAGATTTTGTAAGTTTAAGCGACTGACACATATTGCCAAGTGACTGTTGTGCAGCCTGTTTCTTCCGCATGCTCACCCTCACGATAGTTTAATGTAATGTGATTCTAGACCTTTCACTGTCATGGATTCAGGTATTTAATAAAGAGACTTGACTTTGTCAGTATTCCTCTTAAGTAGTATCCTCGATGTGGTATCCATTTCTCATATCACTGTGTTCTTGCATCTCGGGGAAGTTCATGCTTGCTTTCTTTCAGGTAGTTTGTGTGCTGTCCAGTGACAGGAAAGAAATGTACGATGGCATTAAAAAATACCTGTGTGTCAATTGCCCGATTCCAAGCCAGTGTGTGGTGGCGCGGACCTTGGACAAACCTCAGACGCTGATGACCATTGCTACAAAGATTGCCCAGCAGATGAACTGCAAGATGGGAGGAGCCCTTTGGAAGGTGAAAACAGGAGTACGTTGGAATTTATTGCCTTCTCTTTATTTCATGGACTTTGTTAAGATTCTGTTGAACTATTTTTTAAATTTAACTGAGAAATTTGCCTATATTCTGTTCTAACTCAATTTACTACCTTTTTCAAAATTGAAGTTGCAGAATGCAATGTTCATTGGCATTGATTGTTTCCACGATGTTGTAAATCGACGGAAGTCAATTGCAGGATTTGTGGCAAGTGTCAATGAAGACTTAACGGAGTGAGTAAGCTTTGGCAGACATAGGACAGTTAGTAACGATCTATAGACCAAATAGTAGAGGTGGACCTGACTAATGTTCATTGACTAGCTCCACGGACAAGCTGTTCTTAGCCATGTGCCCTCCCGATCTTCTGGCAAAGTTATCCTCCCCAAATATTTTGCATGAAGGGCTTAGCATCATTTCCTATTGCTGCCTAGGAGTGAGTAAGCTTTGGCAGACATAGGACAGTTAGTAACAATCTATAGACCAAATAGTAGAGGTGGACCTGACTAATGTTCATTGACTAGCTCCACGGACAAGCTGTTCTTAGTCATGTGCCCTCCCGATCTTCTGGCAAAGTTATCCTCCCAAAATATTTTGCATGGAGGGCTTAGCATCATTTCCTATTGCTGCCTAATGAATTATGTCAAATATGACAATTTGAACAATTCCATGTAGGTCAGATGTCTGGCATTGCATAGCTCTCAAGGCCTTACAAGGCAGTGATTAAAGTGTTGCCAAGCCACATTCTTATGAGGCAGCTTGGGCTCCTCTTCCAAGAGCACATAGTTGTGGCAGAATCCATTTGCTTATGGTTGTAGGGCAGAGGTCCCTGTTTCAGAAGAAAGCTAAGATATCAGAAGAAACCAATATTTTGATCTCTGCAGGGGAATGGATCCTTCATTGGATCCTCAGCTGGTGGGGTGGTGGTGATGTCATCGATTAATTTAGAATTAAAGTGATACAATTTTAAGAATCTAGTTTTCCAGACCGATGGCCTACTTTTCTCGAAACAGGTGGTTCTCTCAATGTATCATCCAGGAATCGGGGCAGGAGCTTGTGAATGGGCTGAGGGCCTGCTTGCAAGGTCAGTGTCCTATGACATCTGGAGTTCTAGAGTCTAATAGTAGATCCCCACCAGTGGAGAGATTGTCCCCCAGGGTACATTTAGCAATGACTGAAGGTACTTTTGGTTATCGCAACTGGGATGGAGGTGCTACTGGCATGTAGTCTAGTAGGTAGAGGGCAGGGTGCTGCTAAACTGCTTAGTATGTATAGGATAGCAACATTGAAACCACCACCACCACAAAGAATCATCCGGCTTGGAATTTCTACTGTTATTGAGAAATCCTAGACTAGACTGAAGGCTTAAGCAGGGAAACTGCCCTGAAAGCTACAGTGTTGAAAAATGAACCTGAGAAGTGGTCAAAAATAAGCAGTGGCCAGTCTGTTCCAAGTTAGTTTATTTCTGTGTATTTCTGGTTTATTTTCAGAGGCCCTGAAGCTCTGGTATGAACGTAATTCACTTCTGCCATATTCTATTATTGTGTATCGGGATGGAGTGGGAGATGGTCAGCTTCAAGCATTGATTGACTATGAAATACCACAGATTGTGTCCTCCTTAAAGAGTATTTTCAATTCACAAAAGTAGGTATATAAATTGTAAAGTGTGGATTTTGTAATCTAAATGGTTTAGTCTTTGAAAAAAATCTGTAACAATTATGATATGTGAATTACGAGAAAGAGCTCACTACAGAGAGCTTCCGCTGATGGATAGGGAGAAAACAGGCCATCACCTCTTTGACTTTGTGCTTCACGCCCAAGTCAGAGTACGGAGCGGAATTGTGACATTTCAGTGGCAGGTTGTTCTTCCCGAAGGAACCCCTACAAATCTTTCCCTTTAAAAAATCTCCCTGCAATGAGTCTTTGACTATGCCACTCTGAACAAGCCCAATCCCGTCTGATCTCGGAAGCTAAGCAGGGTTGGGCCTGGTTAGTACTTGGATGGGAGACCACCTAGGAAGACCAGGTGCTGTAGGCATAAAAAATAAAAAAAATGAAAAAATAAGTAAAATAAGAGATTGTAAACTGACAAGGTCCTTGCAATCTGTGAGGTCATCCAAGGGTTGCCTCGCCCCCCAAAATAAAATTAAATAAATTAATGAATTAATTAATTTAATTTAATCTCCCTGCAAGCCTCTATGTAGGACAGCTTAACCTTAATAAATAAGTAAAATAAGAGATTGTAAACTGACAAGATCCTTGCAATCTGTGAGGTCAACCAAGGGTTGCCTCACCCCCAAAAATAAAATTAAATAAATTAATGAATTAATTAAATTTAATTTAATCTCCCTGCAAGCCTCTATGTCGGACAGCTTAACCTCAAATAGTCATTAAAATCCATGAATATAGTCTGTCAATGGTGTTAAACAAAAATGCTCCAGACTGAAAGTTGTCCGGAAAAAAAGGGGTTTGTTGAGCAATAGGTGAGCCAGAGGGAGTACTAGGTCCTAGGGCCCACAGTCTAAACCAGCAGCTACAGGGCTGGATGGAGAAGACAAACATGTCGCCGTCCTGGAGTTGACAAGTCTCTTTTACACCGAGTTTGGGGAAGAAAGATGCAACTTGTTTTGAAAGAATTTATATTGGCTATAGATGAGGGTGGGGTGGGAAAGGGTGAAGCTGGGAAAGCTCTGGGATAGGTGAAAAGTTTGTAGGAAGAAAGACTCGTCGCCTCTGGATTGGTTGTGGGCAAGAGTCTAGAAATTTCATGCACAAGCGGATGTAATGGTGTCTGGTGGTCTGCTATTCGTTTTAGATAACTGCTGAAATAGCTTCCTGGAAGTTGACTCAAAGTTTCAACATACAATCAGGAATGTGGGCAGTCTTTTGTTGGTTTCAACCTATGTCTGCTAACCGATTCACTTCCCTTGTCTCTTCCTCCCACCCTCTAGCTTGCTGTAATTTAGGACATCTCAGAATTTCTTTTTCTTGTCAATGGTTTGCACTTCTCCAACTCCTTTATCCTGGAGTTTTGTAAGTCCCAGGGCCAGGGATCCCTCCCAGCTGCCTCTGCTGGCCTCATTTGTTTATCTGTGAAGCCTGGTATCTGACATAGATAATAGATGTGATGCTGACCTTGTGAGGAAGGGACCATCCCCCTAAGATATGGATGGCTATGAAGAGGAACCTACCCCTTTACTACCTGAATCAGCCATGTGGAGTTCAGATACTAAAACTGGGGAATATAGAGAGCTGCCATCTGCAGGCTCTTTAATAGTTCCTATGGATGTGGTGTTTCAACACTAAATGCTTCTGAGATGACATGAGTGAACATAGTATTTTTCAGTTTCATAATTTTTTTCAGTTTTAAACTAACTTTCATTGTGGTGAAGAAACGAATAAACACCAGATTTTTTGTCGAGTCTCAAGGAAGACTTCAAAATCCATTACCAGGAACAGTTGTTGATGTAGAATTGACCAGGAGAGAATGGTAAGCCACCTTTATTGTCAAGATTTCATTTCATTAAGATGGTAACAGAATTTTTTAAGGTTTGCATGATTTGGAGGAAAAAAGAAGTATTGACTTAAGGAATGTTAAAATTATATGAATAGGTACATTGGATTATAGGTTTTGTTTGTTTGTTTGTTTGTTGTTGGTCTTCAATCATTTTCTTCTCATAGAATTAAAAAAATATGCTGTAAATATACTTATCATTCTAGGATTCTTCAGTTGTTAGGATGAACGGTGGGACTTCTGGTTAACTTTAGACTTGTCAGGTCAATTATGCAAATGAGAACATTTCATAAAACCACAACGAAAAATAAAACATTTGTTTGTTTGTTTGTTTGTTTGTTTTTGGTCTTCAATCATTTTCTTCTCATAGAATTTAAAAAATATGCTGTAAATATACTTATCATTCTAGGATTCTTCAGTTGTTAGGATGAACGGTGGGACTTCTGGTTAACTTTAGACTTGTCAGGTCAATTATGCAAATGAGAACATTTCATAAAACCACAACGAAAAATAAAACATACCAATAGATAGGGAAGATGAAGTAAAACTAAAGACAGACAGAAATATGGATCGATCTATTAGACGGTAAGAGGAAAGAAAAAAAAACCAAAGTATGAAAAACAAAGCATAACGAAGATGACACACATAAAAAATAAATTCAATATTTACAATACGTTGATTAACCTTTCCTATTATATCATTTAGGGAGTTTGAATATATTCAGGTGATTCTTTGGGAGAGGCAGGAAATGTCCATCCCTGGATCTTTGAAATGAGTTACTTATGACCATATCAATTAGCCAGTTTTATATTTATGCCTCTAGGCATCAGTTCATATGCTTTTAAGTCTAAATCCAATAGGAGTTCTTACTTGGGTCATTGATTTCACTGTCTTTTGTAGATTGGCTATATTGAATCATTGCTCAACAGGTGGCCAACCTTTTAATGTTTAGAGTTTAAAGTTTCCTTTAAACTCTTGTCTATAAAATGGGTTTCTGTAAAATATTGTCACTTTAAATACTAGTTTGCAACATTCTTTTTCTTCTAAAATAAGCTGATACCCACATGCTTTATTTTCTAGGTATGATTTTTTTATTGTGAGTCAGTCTGTGAAAGATGGTACTGTCACTCCCACTCATTATAATGTCATCCATGACACAGTTCGCTTGAGCCCAGATACAGTACAGTGTCTAACTTACAGACTATGCCACATGTATTATAATTTGCCAGTAAGTGTTTTTGATACCAATTTTTCTTTAGATCTGTAAAATTGGTCAAAGTTAAATCTATGCTTTTTGAACCTTCGAATTCATATCTATGAAAATGTAAATTCAGGGAAAGTAGATATAAAGTTAAAAAAATTTTTTGTTCTCTTTTAAACTAAAGGGTGTCATCCGAGTTCCTGCTCCTTGTCACTATGCCCATAAACTGGCTTACCTTGTGGGCCAGAGTATTCATGAAGAACCACACCATTCCTTGTCAAACCGGCTCTTTTACCTTTGACCTACAGAAGAAAGCTTTATGGGATATTGAAAGCCACAAATTGTAAATGTTTTTTTTATTTTTGAAGCTCTACATCTGAATTATTTTCCTAGATGCAGAGTTTTAAATTCTAATCATTCTTGATTGGGCATGGAGGAGATTAAGAGTGGTACATGCCATTTTCAATGCTACCACTGACTTAAGATGAGACTTCTGATTTCCAGACAGAGAATTGACAGTGAGGATTTCATCTTGCAATTTACCTTTCAAATGTATTGCAATGACTTTATGATTAATCCTGCCCAAACACTTTCCACTCCTAGGAATGCTACTCTGCTAATTGTAAAGGTTACACATTAGTTACATGGAGATTATATCTATGAGCATGTAAATTCTACTCGGAAAATGATATCTACTTTCTTTTGAAACATTTTAATTTTAAAGGACATAAAAATAAAATTAAATGAAGATGTGTGCAGTATTTTGCATGAAAAATAACCTGCATATTGTTTATTCTTTGTACCAGGGTGGGGATTGAACATATTTTTGGTGGAGCTGTAAATAAGAACAACCTTGTGATTTAAAAGTTGGCAGCATAAGATCATTGAAATGTTTTGTCACTTTCCCTAAATAAGGGAAATTAAGAGCTCTCTTAGCATTTCCATTCCATTCATTCTCTTGTGCAGTTTCAAGTGTGGTGTTAATTCTGTCAGCTGTACCACAATCAGAAGACAGTCTTGAATAAGTTGTTCAAATGTACCTATTATGTTTTTCCTGAAAGCAGACATATTTTTTTCTCTCCACTCTATCTTTAAGTAGACTCAGGAAATAATATGTGAAACTGTCTTCTTACACTCCTAAACAGAGTAGTATAGTATTTTGAGGGTGGGAAGGAAGTAGGTTAGCTTCAAATATACCAGAAAGGGTATGTTTCAAAACAATGTAATTGCTTTGATTATAAGTAAATTAATTTAGGTTTGTAATCTGAACCAGTCTTATAAGAAAATTAAAAGTCATCTAAAAAATATAACAGATAACATTCTACCTAGCAGTACTGTCAGTAATGATAAATATAATACAGGAGATGGGTCTATAATTAAAAACAAGTTAAGGCAGCATGTTCTTTTCTGAAGCTGAAATTTGATTTATGATATTATATTTCTAGAGATCTACAAAACTAATTGGAAGAAACAAATTCAAAGTAGTTATTAAAAACTTTTTGAATATTTCCTATAAATGCAGTACAAATACTTATAACACTTTATAATGATAGCTTCTAGATTTGTCAATTTAAAATTCAATAAAGGTATGCATGTTAAAATCATCGAATTTGGTCTCATCATTTTTAAAAGATATGCTTATCTTAGGCTTCTTAGTCTGATTGTTGCTTTTCTAAGATAAATGGAAATATTGGGGTTAGGGCACTATCTGATTTTATCAGCCTCCTAGTGCTTTATAAATTAGATGAAGGAAGCTAGGTATTCATATTTCTAGGAGAAAGTTTTATTGTCCCAAAGGCTTATAAAATTTCTATAATGTATCACAGTGTCTAAGTTTCATATTACTGAGTAGACATTGGGAGGACTAATTAGTTTTTCAGAAATGGATTTGGCCTAAGTAGCGATATGATATATAATCTAAGAAAAATGAACTTCTTGACTCTTAATGAATAAGTAATACATATTTAATATATATGAAACTTTCCACTGAATACAGCTCAGAAAGCTGGATGGAATATTAGAACTAAGAGTTGACATAGCAAGACAGAGACAGCTTTCCTTAGAAAGGCCTGCCTGCTAGATTGGCCAACATCTGAGAATGCAGAATCTGAAGGGTCCCTACTATTCTCTAATAAGAATGGCTCCCCGTGCCTAAACTGTTTTTGCAAACTGTGGTTCTGCTGAATCTCTTTCCTTCTGGAATTCTTGAATTTGGGCACGTGCTAAGCAGAGGGTACATAAATAACCAGTCACCTCTGGTCACGCAGTCTCCGATGAACTTCCCAGACATTCACAGACATTGTCACAAGTTATTGCTGGAGGAATTAAGTGTACCTGTGTGAATGTTGGAACAGAATTCTTAAAAGTCTGTGCACCTCATTTTCTCTGGACCTCCCTTTATGTGTCCGTTCCCTTTGCTTATTTTGCTTAGTGTGCTTTCACTGTAATACATCACAGCAATCAGTGTGACTACATGCTGAGTTCAGTGAGTCCTAGAGAATCACAGAACTTGGGCAGGGGGGCTCTAGCCACTCCTTGAACGTAGGCTGGAACACAAGGAAAAAAAAATAGGCACCGTCTCTGAGAAAAGTCCAGACATTAGACTTACTAGACAAAGACTTTGTATCTATCATATATGTTCAAAAAAAATTTAAAGCACATTTAAAGAACTAAATGATAGTGTGAGAATTATGTCTCTCAAGTAGAAAATAATAAGAAAAAAGCTATAACTTATAAAAGATAGCCAAATAGAATTTCTGAAGTTGAAAAGTATAATTAAGTGAAAATTTTAACAGAATAGCTTTTATTAGCTTCCAACGGCTGCTGTGACAAAATACTATAAACTATAGGACTTAAAACAACAGAAATTTATTGTTTCACACTTCCGGAGGCTGGAAGTCTGAAGTCAAGCCACAGGATGGGCTGTGCTCCCTATGAAATATCTGGCACATTAGACTTGTCTTTTTCTAGCTTTTGATATTTTCTGGAAATGCTTGGTTTTCCTTGGATTACAGTTGCTATCACTACAATCTATGCCTCCAAACTTCCTTCTCTTATAAGGGTATTGAGTCCTTGGAGTAGGGCCTATTCTAATCCAGAATGACCTTATCTTAACTTGATTATATCTATAAAGACTATTTCCAAATAAAGACACTTTCATAGGTAATGGGGGGTTAGAGCTTTAATGTATATTTTGGGGGAAGCAAACCCACAACAGGGCTGAACAGCAGATTTGAGCAGGGGGAACATAGAATTAGCAAATTTTAAGCGAGGTCAACTGAGATGCAGTCTGATGAGCAGTAAGTCAAAGAAAAAAATGAGGAGAAAAATATAGCCTCAGAGACCTGAGTAATACTGTCAAGCATATCATCATATGCATAAAGCAAGCCCCAGAAAGACAAAAGGCAGGGAAAGAAACAGTGAAAATGTGTGAAGGAATAATAACTAAAATCTCACCAAATATGATGGGAAAAAACCTTAATCAAAATATTCAAGAAGTTCCATGAACACCAAGTAAGATAAACTCACATCACAATAAAATGGTTCAAGGCCAAGGACTAAGAGAATCGTGAACGCAACAAGAGAGAAGTGACTGATCATGTACGAAGACTCCTCAATAAGGTTAATGGCTGATTTTCATCAGAAACCATGGAGTCCAGAAGGCAGTGGAATGACAAAAGTGCTAAAAGATAAAAACTGCCAATCAGCACTTCTCCACCTAGCAAAAATGTCCTTCGATAATGGAGGCGACATTAAGACATTCTCGGATACATAAAATCTGGGAGAATCCATGGCTATCCTCAGCCTGAGAAGAAGTTAAGTGGAGTCCTTCAGGCTGAAATGAGGAGACAGCAGAGTAACATGAAATCTACATGAAGAAATAAAGTTACATAGGTAAGTATAAATATAAATAAGTACATAGAATGTATAGAGTATTAATGTATAAACAACATATTTCTCTCTGATTTAGAACACTACATGATGTAAATATGATAAATCTATGTTGATGAGCACACAGTGTATGAAGATATAATCTGTATGACAATAATGGCAAAAAGGGAGCATAGAACAGATCTATGTCAGAGTAAAGTTTCTGTATGCTATTGAAATTAACCTGATATTAATCCAAATTAGCATGTTATAAATTAAAATGTTAATTGTAACCTCCAGGGAAACTAGTAAGAACATACTGCAGAACATATAATAAAAGGAACAACATGGGAATTAAGTTGTATACTAGCAAATAATAAAAAAACAGCAGACTCATGGACATGGACAATGGACTAGTGGTTACCAGATAGTAGGGGGTGGGGGAGGAGTGGGGAGGTAGATGGGGTAAAGGGGGTCAAATATAGGTAGGTAAGGTGAGGGTGAAGTGAGTAAAGGGAATCAAATATATGGTAGCTGAAGGAAACTGGACTTTGGGTGGTAAACACACAATAGAATATACAGATGTCAAATTATAATGTACACCTGAAAATTATGTAATTGTATTAACCAATGTTACCCTAATGAACTTAAAAATAAAACATAAATTAATTAATTAAAGTGCACTGAAAAACAGTAATGAAGAAATATTAGAATAAAAAGGTGAAACAGATTTAGAAAAAAATGACGAAATGACAGATTTCAATTTACCTAATTAGTAATTAAATGGATTATACACAACAATTAAGAGGCAGATATTGGCAGAGTGAATAAAAACTATGATCTATATGCTATCTATGAGTCACACTTTTTCAATGAAAAAGCCGAAAGTAAAAGGATAGAAATATATATGCCAAGCAAATATTAACCAAAAGAGAACTAGACTGGCGTTGTTAAGACAAACTTTATGATAATTTTGTTATAGAGACATATACAGTCATTTCACGGTGACAAAAGTTCCATTCTTCAAGGAGATAATTATAAACATTTTCCAACTAACAAGAGACTTCCAAAATACACGAAGCAAACTGACAGAACTGAAAAAATAAACAGACCCTTCAACAATAGCAGTTGGAGCTTCATTACTCAACTTTCAATAGTGGAGAGATTCTATTATTGCTTATGATACTGACGTCAGCCTTGTGGGATGACAGAGTGGGGGTTGTGAGTCATATTTTATGGTTCAGGACACTTAGATTTAGTGACTTGTCCAGAGTTGTAACCACAGAACCAACCTAAATTGGCCTTGTCCTGTTTCTAACAAGATACTAAGTTGTTTTTCAGAGATAGCAGAGCAAGCCCTCAAATCATGCAGTTGGACAGTCAGACATGCACACTAGAGAAGAAATTCACCCTAGAATAACCTTTCAATGT